GTTTGAGAGGGAGGGCGCGTGTGTGGTCTGCAAACAGCCACTGGAGCACGGCAAGGGATTACACGTGATTTGCTCGAACGGCAGCTGCGAGGGCGCGGGACACTTGTCCTGCTGGAGCCGCCATCTTCTGGACCACGAGAGCGGTGATGAAGCTGTTTTGCCTGTGGCGGGGCGGTGCCCATCCTGCAGGAGTGAGGTCCGGTGGGATGACTTGATGAGGGAGCTGTCGCTACGGGTCAGAGGCGAGGGCGAGGTGGACAAGCTTCTGAAGGTGAAGAAGAAGCGTCAAGCGAAGACATGATACCGAGGTAGCATGAATGTTGATCACAGGAACCTTGATCGAGCAGCGAGCTGTCTATCCATTGTTGCACCCGCATACGATGCACTCCTACCTATGCTACGGTACGCGCTTGTATCACTCCTGCTCGTGCCTCCTTGGTACGTCGAGCCATGAAGACCAAAAAGGCCCTGACTCAGCCGCCCATACACACCTCCCTCGGTCAAGCCGCCCGATCGGGTCGTTCACTGAAAGGGACTGGGCAGGCTAAGAAAATGGGGGCTGGCCGCCAACGTCATGCATGTTCGATTGGTTCGTCGGTGTACCACTAGCGTTCACCCCCCTGCTCCGATGGCGCTGGATATCAGATTTTGGAGTGGAGGCCCGGCAGGAAAAAGCATGCGAGGGGCGTGACCTTGCTTGGGGCGGGGGGGGGAAGGGGGCGTTCGCTGGTCTGACCGCTGAGAGTCCACGACACTTGGAGGTGTGTCGCAGCGACATTCCAGGGCATATGGGGCCTGTTCGATTGGCGAAGATTTACGCCCCTCCGAGAGGCAGCACTTGAGGAAACGGCTGTGCTTTTTTGCTTCGAGCAGGCAAGAAGAAACAGACGCACGTCTGGTCCATCACCTTTGCTATCGACCTGAGTTAGGTCAAGGTTGTTACTGCGTGGATGGCGCGGCTCGCTATGGCTTGCTTCTCAAAAGAGAGGGTAGGGGGGGAAAAAAAGAAAAAGAGCGTCGCGTGCTTGAGATTACTTCCATCAAATCAATCAAACGCAATGCGGATGGTTTCGCGCGAAATCATCATTTCTGCAGGGCAGCAAGAGAGAGCCATGCAGAGCGCGTTGAAACAAATGCCCATCGCATCATTCAATGCATCGCCCACTACCCTCATGGCCTGGCCTCGCCGTCGATTGACCCAGGCCGAAGCGACGGATCGAGTCATGCCTGTGGTCGAAGACTGGCGACTTGACGTTCCAGGCGGACCCACATGCAGTTGGATTTTGCAACCTCAGATCCGGGTGCGGGCGGTCCTTGGGTCCCTGGTCGCCACTTCCGTTCCGTTCCTCTCGCTCTCCCTCGCACTTGGCTCACTCCGCAACAGCCTCCGAGGACTTGCGAGTACACTGCTACCCACCCTGAACCCAGTATGCTGGTTCGTACTTTTCGGTACCCACACACAACACGCGCACCTGCTCTCTTCACACATGTACACCTGCCGCTGGCCCTGCGCTCGCCAGGGAAAGGGACGTCTATTTCGTGCCTACCTTGCCTTACCTACCTTACCTTGGGCAGGTGGGCAGCTAGTACGCAGACTGGGATATGCTGCCTTGCCCCCATCTGCCGGGGGCCTGTCCTTTGCCCTCGGCTTTTTGCCTGTCTTTCTGTCCGTCCATGTGTCTAACCCATTTCCTCGCCTGATGCACCTGCCCATCTCACGTCGGCGCTTTCACTCCACCCTGCTCTCCCACCATTCCGTTCCTTCGTGCTGTCATGTCGTGACCTTCTTCCTCCTGCACCTCCGACCTCGATTCTCACTACACACCAACTTGGCCGTGCATGACTCGCCCTTGTCCCTGATCCGGTGGTGCTCATAGCGATTTTGTCTTCTGCGCCAGAGTTTCCACGCTGCGAGACTCCAAGACGTCTTGACATTCTCCACGCTGCACACTCTGTCGAGGAACAACAGGTTAGTGAATGTCTAGATGTCCCGAGTACCGCTGCGATTCCTTGAGGGCTGGCGAACCCGCCATTGTCCGCCGCCCACTCGAGCCTTTTGCAAAGCTTTACCCGCACACTCAGATAACTTTCCCACCCTTCCGACCTGTCAATAACCCTCTCAGCTCTCCACATCCATCCCTCGCCCCTCGGTCGACCAAGGGCTCCTTTCCCGAGTGACCTCGAATTCGGCGCCGTGACGATTTCAACCTCCCTACCATGCGACAACTCAGTTGAACATTCGATAGTCGCACGCATGACCACACCCTGACCTACCTTGTCTACCAATCTTTCTGCGACTCGGTCATTCGACGATCGACCTCGAACTCCCGTCCAGCCACCACACGCAATCGCAATGGTTTCTGCGCCGACCATTGGCAATGCCGCTGTTGGAGGCAGTGCAAGCGCGCCTACCAGCTCACGCGCGTCTCCAGCTGTCGGTGCCGGCAAGGCGAAGGCCGGCCAGGTCAACTCCAACGGATACCACCCGACGAACCCTCAGATCCCCCTGAGCTCCATGACGAGCCTGCCACTCGACTTGTCGTCGGTCGAGCGACGCGGGCAGCCGACGGCCGCGAAAGAGCCGATGAAGAAGAAGAACCGACCACATGGACTCGAGGAGGCGCCGACGTACTGTCCGACCGAAGAAGAATGGAAGGACCCTTTCGAATACATTCGAAAAATCACACCTGAGGCCAAGCAATTCGGCCTATGCAAGATTATTCCACCCGACTCGTGGAATCCCGAGTTCGCCATCGACACAGAAGTACGCCGCGTTGCTCACACCCGGAAGACGACTGCTGACCAGCCTTGTAGCGGTTTCACTTTAGGACACGCAAGCAGGAGTTGAACTCGGTCGAAGGAAGTATGCGCCTCCCAAGACACGCACTCACACAGGCAACGGGCTCCATCGGCTGACTTTTGCAGGCACACGCGCCAACATGTCCTACCTCGATGCGCTCGCCAAGTTCCACAAACAGCAGGGTAACAACCTGCACCGTTTACCCTATGTCGACAAGAAACCCCTCGACCTGTATCGGTTAAAGAAGGCTGTGGAGGCACGTGGCGGCTTTGAGAAGGTGTGCAAGGGAAAGAAGTGGGCTGAAATTGGCCGCGATCTCGGATACAGCGGCAAAATCATGTCCTCATTGTCGACATCGCTCAAGAACTCGTACCAAAAATGGCTCTGCCCGTACGAGGACTACCTCCGAGTGGCGAAGCCCGGCGTTCACCAGCAGCTCGAGCTCGAAAATGGCGGACCTTATACCCCGAGTCCATCAGGCACGCCACTCAAGCCGA